ACAGCGTGTAGTCAGAGTATGGAATAGTCTTCCTGATAACGTAGTGCAAGCTGAATCCTTGGGTTCCTTTAAATCAGAGCTAGATAAGATTTGAACAACTCTGAGCTATTGGTTAAGTTCTCCCCAAGCGAGCTCGATGGGCCGAATGGCCTCCTCTCATTTGTATAGTTCTTATGTTCTTAAAACATGAAACCAAAAATGAATACAAATCACAAGACACAGGAACTAGAAAACTGATACAAATGAAACACAAGGAAACAAAATCTGCAAAAACAGAGGACATTTGATTTAAACACAAGAGGGGTTGATAGACAGCCGCATGCTCAGCTCATTGAGCTATGCGGTTCTCAGGGAAGCAGGGGAAACATTAAAGACTAACAACGGGGAGGACAGGATGGCCAGCGACACCTGCTACCAAACGGGGAGAAGACGAAAGACTAGGACAAACAGATGCTGACCCGGACACTAGCTCTGATTTAAAGGAACCCAAGGTTTTAGCTTGCACTACACTAACAGGAAGACTATTCCATACTCCACATAACTACAATGCTGTGTAAATAAGTGCTTTCTCAAATCCATTTTAAAATGTTCTCCTGCTAATTTCCACCTATGGCTACATGTTCCAATATTTAAACTAATACTGAAGTAACTATTTGGCTGAACAGTGTAAACTTTTTTTGTTGTTTTGTGTGTTTTATGTTTATTGCATTTTATATTATAAGATGCCGTATATACAGTTATACCATGCGGAACCATATATGCAGCGTTTGTGTCAGGTAGAGCACATATTAGCGACACACAGGATGCCTCGTGCTGCGCATCCAAAGCGCTAGGCAAATTAGTGCCAAAATTATTTATGTGCGCAAGTGTGAATTTGTACTCGCAGGTTGGTATTTGCAAGAGGACTTGGATTTCCAATACAGGTTTTGTACTTGAAAACCATTATATCTTTGTAAAAAATATTTTTATGAAGATGTTTGGTTTCGCATTTACAAAAAATATTGACGTGTATTTGCAAAATATTTTTTTTGCGAATAAAAATTGTGTTCAGTGCAAGCAAATTTCTTTTTACGGGTGCAAATTGGAAAGTACACATACAAGTACATATGGCACTATTCTGACTCCATAGATCTGTGATCTAAATGGGGCAAACCTGATTAAACCAAGGTTAAAAATAAATAAATCAATTTCACAGTCCACATGCAGTTCATGTGGCCAGTGACTTATAAGTGCGTGAGGCAGAAGGGGTTAAAACACGGAAATTCGATCACAAATGTGGTTTCGTCTTTTAAAATTTATTTTGAATGTTATTATCGAT